CAAAATTGATTTTAGATTTTTGAGGTATTTCGACTTTTTGAGATTTATGCAAAATCTATTCTATATATGGAAGTAAAAAAAGTATCTAGTTATATGTATCTTTAATCAAAGAATAAATCTGGGTGGTCAAAGAATTTCAGGTTTTAAGTAAAATAATTTCATCTTCTATGAAAAACTATTTCGACTTTTTTCTCTGAAATTGTAATTTTGGAGTTCCAAAATAATTTTGCGTACAAGTATAGTAGAAACACCAGCACAATATAATGAAATTAACGGAGGAAATCACAATTAGGATGGTTCTTATAATAATATCTCTTTGTTTCATTTGTAATTCAGATATACATAAAGCAAAAGAATATAATGTAAATAAATATCGTAAACAGTTAATTTTTAATAAGAAAAAAAAATCAAACAATTTGGTAATTTGTATAAAAAATATAAACTAAATTATTATCTAATAAAAACTACTCCAAACCAAAATACTTATGTAGTGTGACACTCTAAACTATTATTTTTATCTTTTATCTATTATTATCTTCTTTATTTGTATTATTTATAATTATAATTAATTTTGTAAATCAGTGATACGAATTAAGAAGTGCTACATTTAAAGATTATCATTATTAATTTACCCAGGTATATATCTAGATACGATACCTAGGGAAATACCCAGGTAGGATACCTGGGGATAGATAATAAAATTACCTTTGACAATATTATTTGTATTACTTGATAAAGAACTAATCTAGAGTAAAGAATAGTATAGTTTGTCTGTGGCACAAAGTGTATCAAAAGGATATAAATACAGGTCTCTTTAGCTTTAGTTTTTATCAATCAGTTTCAGATTAAGTTTAATAGTTTAAGTTCAAGTTCTTTAGTTGTTTAGTTAATAATCCTCTGATTTATTCTTTTAATAAATATTATTTCTTTTATCATTCTTATATACTTATCTTTTATTATTTATTATTATATATCTTATCCATTTCTTATATTTCTTGTATTTATTTTAATAAAGTTGATATTAAAATAAAGTCTTCATATAATTTATCAACTTTGAATCTTTTACATATACACCTTGCTAAGTTACAAACTAACTTGATGTTGTAAAAATCCTGTCACAATAAAAAATTTACTCCTAAGTTGACTCTCTTCTCTAATTTTGTAATTTACTATAATTGGTCAAGTAGGATCAATCGGAAATAGCATGATAATTACATAACCTTTTGTTAGTTTTGTTAGAGAAGATTCTCTATCCTTTAGAACATTGTCGCACTGGACACGCGACAATATATAAAGGTAAGTAATAATAAGTGATAATAATTATTGATAATTAAATTAAAAAAAAAATAAAAAGAAAATGCAATAGATAAGAGATATTATATAAATCAAATAAAAGGTAACAGGATGTGACAAATAGGTATGATGGTACAAAAGCATACTAAATAAGAAAAGAAAAAAAAATAGTAATAATATAAATCACTAAAAACTTATAGATCAAAATTTTTTTATTGAAAATTTAAAAATTTTGAATATGAAAATTCAATTATTTTCAAATAATCTATATAAAGTTATTAAGAATTTAGGTATTGATGAAGATATAAAAGAAGTCAAAACTGATACATTGGTAAATATAATATTACTTATTTTTGACTTAAATAATTATCTTTTAAAATTTAGATAAGTAATTATAAAAAATATTTTTTATTTGTGATATATTTCAATAATTTTTTAAAATTTACATTATATCTAAATTTAGATTATATCCATAATGCAGATTATATGTTTTTAATGAACTTTATATTATAGCAAAACTTGAATTTGTAATTAATAGAAAAAATATTTTTTTAGTTATTATTGAGATCTATATATTTTAAATATTACGAATAGTTGTAGAATCAAATTGATCAGTTAAGTAAAATATAATAAAAATATTGATATTGAATATAAATTAATTATTACGTGAGTTAAGATTAAGGTCAGAGATTAGTTAGTTATAATTTATATAGTTTGAATTAAATTTGTACTTATCAAATTTGTAATTATACTCTAGAAATCTTATCAGTTTAGAAAGTTTTGAAGAAGTACAGTTGATTAAAAAATACTTGTATATGGAAATAAAACTTTATATCAAATGGGTATTAAAAATGACATAAATTTTAATTAAATATATTTGATATTCATGTTATTTTTTCAATTTTTATATTTTATAAAATTGAAATTTTTACAAAATATTGAAATAAACTTGATTTTGACTTACAAAAAAAGAATTAGTTATTATTAAAAAATAATCAGAAAGTAAATATTATAAAGGAGTTTGAATATTATAATATTAGATAGAAGAAAAGAAATACTAAAAGTATTAATTAAAATTTAATAATTTTTTTTACAATAAATAATTAATTGTAATAATATAAAAGAATTAATTCAATTATATTTGAAAGTATAATTATTATAATAAAATAATTTGAATAAATTATATATTAATTGAATTGTTCTAGATCAAAATTATTATTTAGATATTTACACTAGTCAAATACAAAAGAATTACTATACCAAATAATAATTTCTATACTATAGATTAGTTAAAAATTAATAACAATTGACTATTCTATTGCATTTTATATTATAATCAGTAAAAATCAGAATTTTTTTTTGATACGGTATATTTTTTATATTTGACCTGTGTTATTATTATAGACAAAATTTCAAATTGAATATCTATTAGTAATTTATTAAATATATATAAGTTTTTTATACATATTAAGAGAATGTCTAAAGTAGTGTTCATTATATAATTATCTGAAATTAATTAATGTTATATCTAGAATTATATAGAAGTATTCTAGTATGTTATATAAACGAAATGTTTAAATAATATACTAAAAATATCAATTTTAGTATACTATATAAATAAAACATTTATAAAATATCCTAGAATAGTGTGTTCTAGTACATTATATAAATGAAACATTCATAGAACACTCTAAAATATTGTATTTAATATATTATATGAATGTTAATACTATTTGTAGAATGCTATAGAATGGTATTTATATAGTGTCATAGAATGTTTTTATATAATTCCTGGTGTACAATGGAAATCAGATTATAAAGGTTAGAGTTTAAATATATATTATATACAAAATTTTCTTCCTAACACTTTTTATTTATATATAAAAATATATTTAGACATTTTTTTTTTGTATTTTTCATATTTTTTACCTTTTTTATTTATTAAGCTAATTTGTATACACTGGTCAAATGAAGAAAATTTTTGGTACAAATAAATAGAAAGATTTATGAATAATATGTAAATAAACAGAGAGAGATTTTAAATAGTACACAAATAAATGAGTTGATTTTTGAATAATATACAAATAGGCAAGTTGATTGTGAATAATATGCAAATAAATTAAACTAATTTGTATTAAAAATTTTGTAATTTTTAATTATTCAATATGTGATAAACAAAAATTTATAATTTTAATTCTACTTTAAATAACTTTCATATTATATACCATACATGTTGCTCAAATTCAAAATTTTAAATCTTAAAAATTATTTGTTTAGCTCCAATTTTAAATCTGAAATATATTTGATTACTGTTATGAAAAAAATGATTATGGTCAAGTTACATAGTAACTGCAGAAGTATATAGCCAACAGCTAGATTATTTTATCTTTTATAGTTTATCAAATTGAAAACAAATCTATAGTAACACAATATTTAAACATATAAGAAAAACATTTTTCTCTTTTAATTTTTTGTTTAACTCTTTTCAACTCTGCAAAGTTTGTTATGAAAATTCAAATGAATTTGAAAATAATTTTACTTTGCAAAATAATTCTTAAAATAATTATGATGAAAGTAGATCTTTATTGTAATAAATTATAGATATACAAACTTTTTAATTTAACTTTTTATTCAAATTTTCTGAAAAAAAAAATTCTAAAATAAATTGGAAAAACAAATATCATAAGTAAAATAATTAATAAAAGAATAATGTTCATTAGTATATTCAGATCTAATTTGAGGTTTACAAGAAGATAAAATAAAAGAATAATGAATTAACAAGGAATAAATCAAAAACAATATATGATCAAATAATGCAATTATAAAATAAAATAAACTAACATCAAAATACTCAACTAATTAATTTGTTTATTTGTAGATTATACACTTTATTATTTGTTATTTTTATACAAAGTTAATATTATTGTTAAAGTTGATTTTTTTATAATCAAAAAAAAAAAATTCTCCTCATTTTATAAAATTTTAATCAATTCTTCTTGAAATAATTGAATTATTATACAAAGGATTACACTATTCTATCTAATGAATTACAAGCACTTAATTAGTATATTATTGATTTAATTAGTAGATTAATAATTGAATCGACACTTTGATAATAGTAGCAAATTAGTTATCTAATTAATTGTATTAGTGAAGTACTAATCCTTATCATCAGTACATAACCAACTATGATATATAAATATTTATTAAAAATAATTTTGTCTTTCTATGAAAAACTATTTCAGGATTTTTCTTTAAAGTAAAAATTAATTTCGGATTTATACGTAGGCAATTTTTGGGGTATGGTAATGGTCATGCATTGTACAAATAATATATGCATTAAAAATCATTTTTGAAATAATCTTAATTAATGGCCCAAAATAGGTTCTATAATAAAATTTGTGTTATTTACATTTAAAGTAACGTTTGTTCAAGTATTGTTCCATTCGGATAAATCAGGATTGAACCAAATTCACATACCTCATTATATCATGAAATCATGTTGTTAATGTACACAATTTTTATCATTGATATTTTTAGATCCGTAAATACTCACTGATTGGCCGATCAGATCTGTATCTAAGATAATTTTAAAATGGTATGCGATTTAGATGACAAAAAAACAACTCACCAAAAAGTGGAATGATTGGAACGAATTTGCGGCGTAACTTGTTCGATTGGTTTATATTCTGTTTTTTTGAAAAAAGATGGCAAAGGTATCAACCTCTGAACCAGTTGAAGGACATCACGTTTCTTTCATTCTTCCCACTGAGCATTCTTCTTCTAGTCGAACTCCGTCTGTAACATCTATTACTTCCGTAAATTGCACCTTAAAACAACCACGCTATCATAATTTATATCAACCATCATGGCGTGAACAACTAGCTGTTAAACTTAATAACTCTAAAGTTGGTAGCATTTGGAAATTAGTGGACGCCTTTTTAAATATAATGCTATGTGTGATTTATATCTCTCACACTGCGTACATGAAGGTAGCGTTGCCGAAATTCAACGTGATCGTTGAATCCGTATTGGCAATATTGTTACTCTTGGAATATATTCCAAAGTTTTATATTTATAAATTTGAATCTTGGCGTTCACTCTTTACCGGAGTTTCACCGATTCTTACTGTTCTAACGGTTTATCCCGTGTTAATTACCGCTTTGGATCCGGTGCTTAACGAAACCCGTTATATTGTCTTTTTTTATCCTTTCCGATTTATTCGTTGTTATTTTTCAGTATATGATTGTTTGGTTAGAAGTGAAAAGTCCGTTATAAAGATTGGACAGGTCACTAGTAGAGTGTTGATATTTTTGGAATCAATTCTATTTCTGGTGTTAGCTGGCTCTTCTTTGTTATATGGTGTTGAATATGCCTACATGGCAAGTTATTTATTTATTATTATTATTATTATTTCCTTTTTAATTAATTAATTATTTATTTATTTATTTATTTCATATTTCATTTATTTTATAGGATGCTAACGATCTTACTTTTTTAGATGGTATTCTTAATTATATCAAATATTTCTTATTATGAAAACTTGTTTATATTGTATTATTTATTTATTTTTTTTTTGTTAACTATCTTATGAAATCAGCTTTATTCTTTACAACAATTATGTTGGGAACTGTTGGTTATTTAAGTGATATAATACCCGATAATGCATTTCCAAGGGTTCTTCTCATGGTGATATTTATTATGGGTTTGATATTTATTCCGGTAGGAAAAGATTTTTATTATATATATAAATTGCTTATTTTACATATTGTATTGAATTGTTGGTTGAATTGTTAATTGATATGTATTTTTGGTTCTTTAAGTATTCCATAACAGAATTGACTTCTTTGATAAGATCTAAATCAGTTTATGACAAGCCATTCCGAAAGATTTCGAAACAACCACATGTCATTATAATAGCGCCTACAATAGAGTTACCTTCGTTAAGACATTTTTTGAAAGAATTTTATTCTTTAGCACATGGTACCGCTACTGTCAACACTAAGGTTTGATAATCTTCAATATAATAATTATTATCATAATAAATTTTTTATCAATTCATTTTTAAAAGAATAATCTTTTTCTTTCATATTAAAAAGGTGGTAATCTTAAATTCTACGGATCCTACTGATCGCGTGAGAACTTTTTTGTCAGATCCAGTTTTTGCTCATCGTGTACAATATATTCGAGGAAGTTCTCTTGAAGCACGTTATTTAGAAAAATCCAAAGCAGCAAACGCATCAGCATATTTCATTCTTGCAAAGAAATATACACAACAGAGTGAGATTATTGATGCAGAGAATGTGCTGCGAGCAATTGTATTATTATATTTTTTATTACATTTTATTATATTTTATGACTTTAAAATAAATATATATTTTATATAAATGCTTTTTTTTATTTTTATTTTATTATTATTTTTGCAGGCTCTACGCAAATTTAATGTGGGTCCCAAATTCTATATTCAGTGCATTCTCCCGGAAAACAAAGTTCACTTCGAAAGTTTAAGTAAGTTTTTTTTTTTTTTTTTTTTTCTCTAAAATCTATGAATTATAGTGAAAACTTTATATCCAATCTCTTTATTTTTACAGATCCAGAACAAATAATTTGTATTGATGAATTAAAATTGGGAATTCTTGCTCATTCATGCCTGACTCCAGGATTCTCATCACTTTTATATGGACTTACAACTTCATTTACTTCGGAATCTGCACAGCAATTAAGAAATGAGGCCAAAAAACGTTGTTCCTCAAGTGTGTTGGATGTTGAAGCTATTGAGGATTACATTACTGGAATTTCCCAATCAATTTACACGACTACATTGTCTGAATGTTTTCCTGGGGAAACTTTCTTGGTTGTGTCTGGTAAATAAATTTATCTTTTAAAAATGGTAATAATAATAATAACAATAATAATAATAACAATAATATTAATAGTAGATTTATTTTAGAACGTCTTTATGAGAGTCTAGGAGTTGTATTGTTTGCAATTGGAATTCCAAAGCAACGATCAACTAGTGAATACACTAATCATTGGGTGTTCGATTCAAATGAATTTGATGAAGAAGAATATTCCAAAAATTTCATTGTATTAATAAATCCGGGTGATTATATTGTTAAAGGTGATGAAATAGGATTTATTATCGCATCAGATGGTAAACTAGTTGATGGAATATCAACTTATGAGTTACATCATTCTCAAAGATCTAATCCCATTTCCAATTATGAGCAACATACATTTTCAGAAAGACAATCTTTATTATCAGGGGATACATTAAAAAATAGTGGTGGTGGTTCTTATTTCGATATTAAGAAAAAACCCCAAACATCAGTTTCGACACATGATCAACAATATGAATATCCTCATAGACCTGACTCTTCTATAGCAAGACGTCAACGTGCACTTTCAACACCTATGTCTTTATCCACAGATCATCCACACGAGAATCCCCATTTTGAGCACTCAACAACTTCCTTTAATACATCCTTCCCCGTTATTCACGAAATTGAAAGTTCTTACTCTATAATAGAAACAATAACCGGTCATATTCTTTTATGTGATTATTCATCAATATTTCCTCGTAACCTGGATTGTTTTGTTAGTCCACTGCGTAAATCACATTTAGATAAAATAACTCCCGTTGTGATTTTATCGCCAGCGAGGCCATCCCGAAGTCAATGGAAGATATTGAGCCGATTTGATCATGTTTATTTTGTCGAAGGAAATCCAATGACAAGAGAAGGTTTAGAGAGTGGTCGAGTTAAATACGCAAAGCAGGCTGTAAGTACATTTTTCAATCGTAATATCTCAAATTTTCACTTAATCAACTTAATCTAACCAGAGTTATTAATTTTAAAATCTATAAACAGGTAATATTGACAGATTCTACCAGAATACTAAGGTATAAATTCTAAATCATTATCCCATATTAAATATATTAAATTAAAAAAATAAACATTAATATATTATATGAAATATTTACATTGATATAAAATAGAAATCAAGAAAAAACTGAAGACGCATCATCAATGTTAGTGTTTTTAAATATTAAGGCAATGTGCAAAGAAGATATTGACGTATTTGTGGAGTTCGTGCACATGGATAACATGAAATTTATGTCTGAGGATGCTTCGTCCATTGATAAAAACATGAAACGTAAGTATCAAATATAATTAATTAATTATTTATTTATTTATTTTTTTTTTAATAAAAAGAAAAGATGAATAATTTTCAAATTTTTATTTTATAGCCCATCATTCTCCAGCTTTTATGGCCGGAACATGCTTTTCATTATCAATGTTGGACAGTATTATTTGTCAATCATTTTATCAACCACATCTTGTTTCCATCATTCATCAAATGCTTTTTAGTGCACCTCCATTACATCTTCCATCTGGAGCAACGTGTCCTGCACCTTCTCATTCACACTTTTTCCAAATTCCAGTCCCTCATGCATTTGTAGGATATCGATATGGAGCTTTGTTTCACTTCTTGTCAAATGAGAAAAAGGCTATACCCTTAGGGTTATATCGTACTAAAAGTGTAAAAACTTCTAATGGGAATATAAAAGATGTGAAGTATATTTATACATGTCCAAAATATCACACTTTATTGAAGGAAACTGATAAAGTATTTGTATTAAGTAAAAGAATGCCCATAATTTCAGAGAAAGCTTAAATATTATTATTATTATTATTATTATTATACATTTATAAAAGTATTGTACTTTAAAAAAAATTCGGATTCATGGAAAAAAAAGGCTTCTTTTTTAAAATAAAAATTTAATTTATAGCATTTATTTTTTTATTTGGAATAAATTATCTTTTGATTTCTTTAGTTTCTGGGTCAATCCAAGTTTTTGCCGGCCTGTCAAATTAAAACATATAATTTTATTCAGTCACTACTAAAGCGTACATTTTGATATTTAAAAAACTCAATGAAATACACGCGAAAACATGAAAAAACATAATATACGTGTAAAACTAAACTATTATCATTTTCATTATTAATTATTATGTATTAAAAAAAAATGGGTTGATTAATAACAAATTCCGAATACCTAATGATCTCTGCTACAGCAAAATTTTTCCTCTTGCTCATGCGTCTACAGGCTTGAATTCTAACCACATCGCCCAATGAACATCGGCTATTTTCATCATGAACCAAGTATTTTTTGTGTTCTGTTATTATCTTTTACATATTTTTTTTTATTCGACCATCAGCATTTTTGAGTTTTTTTTTTTTTTTTTTCGTCAAAAAAGTAAATTTGTCAATAGATAGATAGATAGATAGATATATTAAAAAAAATCCAATACCTTATGAACTTTGGGATGTTCAAATTGTTTAGCTACTTGAACTTTAACGGTTTTAGCTGTGGCAGTTTTAATAACAATTCCAATAAGATTTTGTATCATTTCAATATTTCGAATAGACGCGAACTTGTCACATTCAGTGTAATGATCCAATCATAATCGATTATAAAATATTTATTAAATCAGATAATCAGAAAGAAAATCGAAATCGATTACATAAGAAAAACTAATAACAATAATCTAGTATACAATTCACTTCTTAATCACGTGTAGCTATTGTTTTATTATCAATTATCAATAATTATTTGGCATCTTCAAGATTCAATTTCGAAAATTTATTTGTCAATGGAACAGCGTTAACATATAATTCTTCTTTGTCTGAGGATTTGGATGGTTTAGGTGATTCAGTGGTTGTTACAGTACTAGTGGAACCTCCAGATGAATCATCATCTTTAAGAAATAAATTTATCTTTTCATCAGCTATTTCAAGATGACTCATTTGTTCACAGACCTCTAACGCGCTTAAACGTAATAAATATTCGAGTAAGCTCAAAGTCTTCAAATTAAATTGATGCATAACTGAAATATCATCCGATTCAATAGAACCTTCAATATTTGGCAAATTTTCTGTGATTTCATCGTTTGGCTTATCATAAGTATCTGAAATGGGATTAAAAGGGTTCTCATCATTATCATCTCCATCATCACTCACAGTGGCATCCGAACCTTCATCATCACGAACTGGCAAAGGAATTCTTCTTGGGGAAGGTGATACTGGCGTAGAGATATTCTTGTTTCTGGGAGGAGTTGCAGGGAAAGAAATGTTTCTTGAAGGAGTTGAAGAAACGGACTTTGATGATGGAGTTTCAGGTAAAGGAATTTTTCTGGGAGTGTGGATTGCACTATTTTTATCAATTTCATCGTCACTATCAATTTCATCATCACTACTATCGTCATCTTTATTAAAAGTTTCAGCTTCTTGAAATATCTCAAGAGCATATAAATCTACATTTAAATGTTCTTTGGACTCTTTTACCGGTTTATCATGAACATCCGGAATTGGATAAAAGGGATTTTCTTCTAAATCCACATTATCTTTATTTCCTTCTCTGACTTTAGAAAGACCTTTTATAACTTTAAGTACAAGTACAGGCATCTTTGATTCCTCGATGTTCAACAAAGATCCTGATGAAGTATAATATAAACGCGATATTTCTGCTACCGGAATCCGAAAACATTTTCCTGGAATACTTTGATTTGGTTTTCCAATTTTTGCCCTTATAGAAGGTGATTTTTCGAATTCCTCGTGATATCTACCATCATTAAGGTCTTCTACAAGTACTAATTCATATAAATATTCCTTTTTGTTACTAATATCGCGAACGCGATGTATAGCAGCATCACATTTAGTAAATTCTTCTTTCCATGTAAAGTCTACTACAGATTTTGGTCGAACTGAAGCTGTGAACATATAATAAAGTTTCAATTTATACAAAGGACCCACTCGCATTTCTTTTACATTATTCTGCATAAATTTTCGATTTGTTTCACATAATGCATTTGAAGCTTGAAGCAAACGCGAAGGGCTTACTGAGTTGGGTAAACTCCATCCAAGATTTGCTCCACTAGTTGTCATAATAAGATTAAGGTAAGGCACAAATTTTTCAATCTTTTGTATCAACCCTTGCATTTCTTTTATAACTTTAGAAAGATCCAGTGAACCTTTTTTTGTGTTAGTTGTATCTTCAGATTTGGTGGAAAACTTATGTGCAAATGACTCGATTTCTTTCCGTAACATTGTAGTGTGCGCGGCAGTTGGTTCCAATGCCGTGTTTCCGCGTGCTGATATTATTTCAATTAAATCTATAGCTGGTTGGACCATTTGAATACTATGTTCCAAAGTCTTAAAAATCAAATTAATAATACATATTAAGCAATATTAAATTATAAAAAACAAAATTGTCGTTTACCTCTTTAACCTGCTCAAGTTCGGCCATTTCAACATTTGTAACATTGCTAGCGTCATTCTTAATATAGTTTGTAACTTGTTTCTGAAAAGTAAAAAAAAAAAAAGATTAATTAGGTAAAAAATAATTGAAAATATTTTCTACTACTAAGGTAAAATTTTACCATAGCATAGGTAGCGCTATACGCGAACGCCGCTTTACCGACCTACGGAGGTTATAGAACAAAAAGTTATATTCTGATACCTGAAATTAACGAATCTTTAAAGATGATATTTACTAAGGTCACAGTGTGAAGTGCTAATTTCGTGAAGATTTCGTCCATTTTTGAATTCTATAATAGAAGAAATTTTGTTCATTACATATTTATCTACTGTACATAAATGACGTCAAACGTCTCATGTCACGTGTAATTCCGAAAAATTGTACAACGGGAGGTTCATATAAAAACTCGTTATTTATAAAATTTTTCAGAATTCTTAAATTTTATTGAAGTTGATAAATAAGAAAATAAGAAATCCTTTATTGCACACTTGGTTATCTTAGTTGTTTTACGTTGTCTACTTCATTAAAAATAGGAATTGAATAAACTATATTAGACCAAAATATTTCCGTTCAAATATTTGAAATTATTAGTAAGTTCGAGAAAATTATGAATTACTTTAAATTAATTATAAGTATTAATAATAAAATTAAATAAGATTAAATATGCATTTTATTATATATATTTAATGTAGATATCATTTATTAATTAATGATTAGTGTTAATGAATTGGAATTTGAAAAACTATCAGAAAAATAATCAAGTTTTATCATACTTAGATAGATAGCAATAAATGTAATTAATTGGAATGAATTCAAAGATTTGAAACAATTTTATAGTATCATTATTGCGAATCAAAAGGCTTTACTTCTCTTCAAGAATTTTCAAAAGCAAGCATTACTTTCACTTTGTCTTCACGATATTGGTGGTGAATTATTTGTATTAATTTACTATTGATACTATTGTATTTCTTTTTTTTTTTTTATCTCTTTAATAAAATACTTAATTTTTATCAAAAATTTTATTATTGTTTTATTAATGTCTATTTTTATTTTTATTTTTTATTTTATAAGATGTGTGGTCAATTCTTTCTTTAGCTAAATTCGTTAAATCAGTATAATATTTTCTGAAGTTTCTTTCAAAACAACAAGTCAAACAAGCCAATTAAGAAAAAGTTGGTTTGATAATATCAATACAAATGGGTTCGCTAATGAGAAATAATTAGAAAATAATTATCTTTACATTGGGATCAACATCAAGGATTGATGATTGCAATCTACTTGTTGATTTCGATTGTGCATATTAATGATAATTACATCACCATTCAACTGACATTATCAAAATCCGCAAGTAAGGTGAATAGAATAAATTGAAATTCCGCACATCAGCACATCAGCAAATGAGAATTAACTGTAATAATGATTAATATCATCATCAATCATATACTTATTTATGACTCACAATCACCAATTGTATTATTGTTATTTTATATATTTTATTATATATTTTATAAATATTATTTAAAATACTGTTAATGATATAAATCACATCAAATCTTATTATGACAAATCTGCAAGCAGATGAGAAGCCTCAAAAACATCAAGGTATTTGATCAATCGTCAACTGCTACATTATTCTTCCTTCCTTTATTTAAGACTCGACTCACAATCACCAATTGTGTCTATTGAAACCGCACTCACTATCAAAATCTATTACAAGCATGTGAGAACTTGATTTTCTTTTAAAAAATATATATTTTACATTTTATTATAATTTATTATTTATATATTATTTTATTTTAAAATATAAATTATAATTGAGCACTAATTCTTATGATGAAATCCTAATGTTTATTTATGACTCACTATCACCAATTGTGTCTATTGAGACTGTATATTATGGATTTTTTTTTAAATAAATTATTATATTTTACATTTTTATCAATTGTTCTATGTACAATATTTTAATCTTAAAAAAAAAAATTAAGTAAATATTTAGCATTTGATATTTGATTTCAAGGGGAGAAAAAAGATATAAATATGGGTACTTTTCCCTTCAGTCAAAAATCAAAAAAAAAAAAAAAGAAAAATCAACAAATAAACCAGAAATTGATCCAAAGTACCCTTTCGGTATTGGCCTTGTGCCATACCATCCAGATCTCATAACCTTTGAATATACAGGTAATGAGAATCTCCTTCCGGAGTTTGAAGAACCAGAAGAGGTTCTCGTATCTAAGAATAAATACGTTGCAAAGTGCTTTTTTTTAACCTACTGATAATGAATGACAACGAGTTGTTTTTTGAATTTCTTACTGATGAAGAAGATGATTTAACTGATTATTATCAGTGCTACAATTGCAAACGGGCAAAATATGAGGAAAAAAAGGAGACGAGGTGGTAAGTCTATAACTTCTACCTACTTCTAAAATTAAATTAATAAATATTTTTCTAACTTAAAAAAGAAGAAATTAATTATTTTTTAATTGAATATATTTTTACTATTATTATCATTTTGATTATTATACACTCTTTTGCTCTACCTACATATATCCTATTTCTCTACCTACATATATCCTCTCTCTTCCTTCTTCCCTCTCTTCCTCTCTTTCTCTTCCTCTCTCTCTTCCACTCTCTCTTCTCTCTCCTTCTCTCTCTCCTCTCTTCCTCTCTCTCTCTCTCTTTTTTTTCTCTTTCTCTTTCTCTTTCTTATTATCAATTTATTATTACATTTCTATTCTTGTATATATATATATATATTTTTTAAATTTATTATTATATTATTACTATTTCATATATATTATCCCATTTTTTTATATCAATAAATTTAAATGTTAAATGAAAAAACTTTCACATTTAGTGTCAAGTGTTCAAATTTAATGAATACATAAACTTATTTTTTTATTGTCTACTTGAGTTGTGATAATATTATATTTTAGCAAAAATGTTAAAGACTATATCAAAGAATAATAAAAATAATTGATAGCAAAAATATTATAATAATAAATAATTAGAGATAATAGAATAAATTATACTATATAACATAACAATAAAAAATAAATTCTTTTCTACTGCTAAAAACTGTGACTGTGAAAAACTAACTATGAGAATGAGGACTTTGTAAAGAAATAGGTATGTCATTTTATATTCATTCATTCTTTAATAAAGTACATGTTTCGATAACTTTCATTAAAAATATAAGTGTTTCAATAACTTTCATCAAAAAAAACATGTGTTTCAATATCTTTCATTAAAAAAAATAATAATAACCTTATTCCTTTATTTATAAGAATATAAATATTAATATTCTAAAATATCTTTATTTCTGTTATTTTAAGTTTACAAAAATTGTTGATTTTAACAAAATACAATAGGTTTGTGATCAATACATATGGTTGAATAATTTTCAAACTTCCACAAATTAAAGACTATAGAATACTTCACTTTTCTCTAGCTTTATGAAATACGTGTGAAAATAAAGGTTTAATTATTTAGGGGCATCTATCTGTTTTAATAATTTATATGAGAGTTTTCAAAAACATCAAGATCTTATTCATGATTAAATCATTTTAGAAGTATTCAATTTACATTTATATGATGAATTTTATAAGGTCTTGGTAATAATTTGTTACTGATATTCTTTTTTTAGCCTTCGAAATATTAGTAATTTTTTATATTATTTAAGGTGTGAATTATTCACATTAAGTTTTTAAAATATAATAAATGTTTGTAATTTTAGTATATAGAGATATAACTGGAGGAAGGAAGGATTGAATACAGAAGAGGATTAATTTCTGTTTTTTATCCTATAAAACTATAGAGGAATTAAAAAAGTACTTCGCAAATATAATGTAATGGTGAAGAATTAAATATCACATATTTTTACTAATCAGATATATAATATATAATGGCAAAACTAGTATTTTTGTATTTTTTTTTTCTATAGTATTTGAAGAAATTTATGACAATGACAAAGCTCTCAAACAATGTGTGAAAGAAATAATATTAAAGTTTCAATTTGGAAACAATGCACGTCAATGCCAATGAAAATATCTGTTGTATATTTATTGCATCTATATTAAATACGTTGCTAGCAATTGTTTGAAGAGTTACCAATGAAGAAAAAATTTACATAGCATATAATCAATTCGAAAAAAGGGTGAAAAAGGTTATTGGGTTAATTGTAGGGTTGGAATAACTGTGAGCGACAAGAAAGACGTGTGCGATTGGGAAATAGATATTTATTTCTGTTTACAAACAGAAGGGTGTTAACTCTTGGTTTATCAAGTATTTTAATAGTTAAAATTTGTACCAATAATACATGTTGCCTTGATAACATGTGGCATTAAATCTTAAGGCATATATAATAGTTCAAGAGCCATTCATCTCGAAATTAATATCTGAAATTGTTATAAAAAACCCACAACTTTCTTGCGACGGGCAAAATTCTCCTAATTAACTTGAACAGAAATAAAATCCCATAGCATCATGATATTATCGTTTCATATTACCTACACAACTCCTTAAATTCGATCGAGCCCGGTTCTTCAATAATGTACTCGAGAGGGTGTGATGACACGATCTACTAAAATATTCGCTTGTGATCCTCTGAAATATAATTGGAATACTAAACAAAACTTTACTATAAAATATAAAAGCAAAGATAAAAAAATCAAATACACTGTTTACCTCTATCTTATCTAAATGGTAAATTGTCAATACCATCAATGGAAATAATTCCTTTTCCGTTATTAATTTGGTGGCAAGCAAAGGCCATGATCGGTATATACCATCATATTGTAAATCCATAAAATATGAGTTTATATCATCTCCTGGATTATCAAACGTATTTTATTAAAATCAGAAAATATTGAAAGTAAAAAAGACCAAAAATACATACCCATGTTTAATAAAATAATCGATTGATTTGGACCACCTTCATTTAACAGCTGATTTATTGACTTCTTTGACCATAAATGTACCTTAACAAAATCTTTATTTTTTGTAAGTCCGTGCAACCTAATGGCTTTACTTTTGAATTTAATATTGTAATATCATCAATTCTACAACTAAAATCTGGTCTTTTCAACGAACCCTTTACGCTTTTATCTAACCTTACTTTGTAATCTTTTGAATCTCCACAGAAAAATGGTCTCAACAAAGGATCTAAATAATAAAATCGATGCTCATTTTCAGTGATTTTTTTTGTTTGTGCTGATGTTAAGTCTTCTTTTCTAAAAAATTTTATTCCGGTCTTTAGTTTTTCATTGATCATTTTCATATAATATCAAAAAGATCTTGATAGCAACCTACAGATTATTAAATATTCGACTAGCTTTTTTACCCAAATCGCTTTCATCATTTGATACAAAATTATTATCTAATCCTATTGCAATGTTACTGCATGCTTCAGATAATAAGGATGCAAAGGGATTATCCCACACCGATTCTTTGACAGCATAAGGATTGGTATTAATTACTTGTTTCCATTCATCAGGGGTAAAAGTAGAATATGGGCATGGTTTAATCAACACAATTATTGATGCAAGTGCTCTAGAATAAAGATTAAATTGACGTATATTTTCAACGAATATACAATGAAACTGCATATTTTAAAATACTTACAATATTTCGTACTTGATATTTTTACTCCCTCTACTACATTTTCTATTACACTTTCTATTAACTGCATTTGGTATTCTTTGAACTTTCTCGACACATTAATTATGCCTACGATCCACTAAAATAAATTATAAATTTTCTGTTATGTAAAATTGACAGAATTCAAAAAAGGCTCAGTTTAATGCGCACCTCATTTCTTGATTGAAATTTTAACTGCTTTTTTTAATTCATCCAATTTGAAGACAATTGCTTCACTCTCACTCTCACTCTCACTCTCATCAATTTCGCTTTCATTACTTTCGCTTTTATCACTTTCGTTCTCATTACTATCACTCTCATCACTATCGCTCTCACAATTCTCATCATTATCGTTCTTGTTGTCACTATTATCATTGGAAAAAGGATGGTCTTCCGTACCATCATTATCATCATCATCTTTGTCATCCCGATAATATTGCAATGAAAAATTATTAAAGCCCAGCAACAATAAATCCAATGATGGTTATCACCTTATGAATTCGAATACGTTTTGCTATATTTTCGTTGTCAGTATTAAGGAATCTCTTTGCAATGCTAATGGTAATTGACTCAGCATATTTTTGGATTTGTTCTGTCGTCACCGAGGCGATTGTAATGTGCTGAGTCGTCTGTATACGGGAAATGGATAATAGTAACGTTTGGTTTTATTATATTAAATTGGGAAAGAAAATAAGTGAAGTACCTGCAATTCCTGAATTTTCAAATTTGCTTCTTCGTCTTGTAACTTTTTCTTTGCCTTAATATTTTTCCTTTCGGCGACAATTTTCCAAAATCATTTTATCGTTGATGATCGTTTACTCTCCTATAAGTTGATAAAACAGAGTTCTAAGTATCTTCGCCTAATAAACTTCGTTTGAAAATTTTTCTTATTACATATAAAAAGAATTGGAGACATCACGAACGAGCACCATGATCCCAAAGTCCATCAATCATAGTTCACCAACAAACATGACAGTCTTTCCCACTGCATGCATGACAGGTTGCAGGATAGAATGGTGTACTTAATGAATCGATGAGTCTCAAGGCGGTTCGTGGAGCAAACTCACCAACAAACGTGATAGTCTTTCCCACTGCAAGCATGACAGGTTACAGGGTAGTTGGTGTACTCACGCTCCTAATCCAATAAAGTAATATAATTAACTTGCCTTAAAAGCATTTTTCCATTTTAATATTTGCCAACGTAATATCTGCTAATAACATTTAGTTCATTATTATGTAGAGTGTACTCAACACGCATTTTTTCTATATCGCCAGCTGAAAATCGAAAATCTAAAAACTTCTTGAGGGAAGGTTGATCCGTTTTCTCCCAAAAGGCTAAAGGATTAGGTAATTAAAAAGCATCACAGAGAATGTAAATTTCTTTATAAAGCACCATACAGAGAACGTTGACACGGTTTATCTTACCACGATATTTCAACGAGTTAAGAGAAAGATACATAATTAACAAGTTAGATGCACAAACGCACGTATGAAGTCACGGATCACGTTATGGTGTTCTTGTCTGACCAATCATTTCCGCTTTGTAGAAAAACATCTACATATTACATTTTCAGCATATGAGAAATGGAGAATGCGTTTCTATTGTGGTGCAGTAGAGAGAAAAATATCATAAATTTTTAACAGATCGGGATAGTCTGGTTGGTGGAGAGTTATTATGTCGCGGTATACGAAAGAGGGGTTTAAATACCGCATAGCTTGATAATCTCATGAATGATTGGAAAAAAAAAAATCATAACCAAATCATACAAATTTTCTCTTCAAACGAAATTGGGATTGAGATAACAACGAAGGCATAATGATAAAGGCATGATTGTATAGTCACATTGATGCTTGCAAATCAAGTAATTATTTATTTAATAATGTTACGGATTATATGTATAACCTTGATTATAATAATTATAATATGTATCACTAGTCAAATACAAAAGAATCGCTGTACCGAATGGTAATTCTATATTATAGACCAGCTAAAATCAACCGTCTTATTTTACCATATATTCTAAAATCGGAATTCCTATTTGTGCTGCTTATTCTTTTGTATTTGACCTGTGTATATTTTCGTAACTCACCTGGTGTTAACATTATAATAAAATTATATTTAATACTCTTCGGTAACTTATAAAATAAAATACAATTGATATTTAAATTAAATTATAAATTAAATATATCGTAAAAGCTTACTTTGACAATCTCTAGTAGTTAATTCATTTGTATTTTTATTATAATTTTAATTAAGATTCTTAGGCTTTGGAAGATTTTTGAAATTAAAACCTCTACTGGTGTAGATTGCTGATGGATGTATTTCATATATTAAACTATTTGTATTACTGTTATTATACAATTCTGATTGATTTTTCATCTACCATAATTAAAAAAAATCGTGTTCGGAAAAAAAATTGTACAACACAGTCACATAAAAATTCAGTAGTGTATTTGAAATTGTCTCGATTTTTCAGAAATTCTTAAATGATGTTTTCATTAAAGTTGATAAAGAAGAAAATAAGAGATCCTTTATTGCACACTTGGTTGTCTTAGTTGTTTTACGTTATCGTATCCGTTCAGTTTACTTCATCAAAGAGTTGGAAAAATACTATTAAACTGGGAATGAATAAACTCTGTTCAAACATTTGAAATTATTAGTAAGTTAGAGAAAAAGTTTCAAATTAATTATAAGTATTAATAATAAAATCAAGTAGAATTAAATATTCATTTTATTATATATTTAATGTAGATATTATTTATTTATTAATTATTAGTGCTAATATACTATAATCGAAATAATAGAATTTATTAATTAATATAAGATTTCGAGAGGAATTGGAGTCTCAGAAAAAATTATCAAGTTACCTTGTTGAATCCAAAGCTTCTTGATTAAGAATTTATTTCTTAATTTATCATTCTTTGATAGATAGTGAAAAATGTAATTGGTTGTAATTAATTGTAATGAATTCAAAGATTCGAAACAATTTTATAGTGTCATTATTGTGAATCAAAAGGCTTTACTTCTCTTCAAGAATCTTCAATAAACTTTCATTTTGTATTCACGATATTCTTAATGAATGTAAGTCAAAATATTGTGTAAATTTGTTTTTTTTTATTACTATTGATATTATTGTATTTTCTTTATCTCTTTAATAAACTTACTTTATCAAAATTTTTATTTACAATAAGATTGTTCTTTTTATTAATGTTTATTATATTTATATATATATATATTTTATAAGATATGTGGTCAATTTGTCGACAATTATAATTACTACAATTTTGTAGTCTAAAAGTATATAAGTAATACTTTCAGAAACAACATCAATTATTTTAAATTCCTTTCGAAATTAAGTCTTTAAACAAGTTCAACGAGTTCAAAAAATTTAAAATCAATTAAGAAAAAGTTGGTTCGATAATATCAACACAAATAAGGATCGCTAATGAGAAATAGTAATATTGGGAAATAATTACATCTCATCAATCTTTACATTGGAATCAACATCAAGGAAGCAGTTTCAATTGAGTATGAATATAATAGATTCGATAGGCACATAATAACAATAATAATAACAATAATAATAATAATAATAATAATAATAATAATAATAATAATAATTATAATAATAATAATTAATTACATCATCATCAATATTACAATCACAAGCAGCTGAAAGTCGAATAAATTGAAATTTCACACATCATCATTAATCTTATATTTATGACGAGCAGGTGAGAATTAACTGCATTATAATGCATTATTATTATTATTATTATTATTATTATTATTATTACTACAATTGGTAATCTACCACAAGTTTATAAGTGTACTAGTCTTTAAACGAGTTAAGTAAGTCAGATAATTGATTAAGATAACAATACTAGATAATAATTATCAACACAAATGAGAAGGAGTATTTCTAAAGAGAAGTAACAACATTGAATAATAATTACATCATCAATCTTTACATTGGGATCAACATCGGATGTAGAAAAATTGAGTCAATTATCAATCTTATTATCAATTGTTGACTCACAAATGAAAGATGACGATCTGCTTGTGAATTTTGATTGTACAGTTTAAAATAGGTAAGAATTAACTGCATTATAATAATTACATTATCTTATTATATTACAAGCAGGTGGTCAATAGAATAAATTGGAAGGTTATAATCGTAATCAGCAATTGTGAATAATATTTTTAACTGTATATGTCAATTACATCAGATCATATGAAAAAAAAAATCATTTCATTTTGTTGAATAATATATTTTTTTATTTACAATTGTTGTAATTGTTGTAGATGAAATTTTTTTTTGAAAAAAAAAATTAAGTATTTAGAATTTGATATTTGATTTCGGGGGGGGGGAAAGGTATAAATATAGGTACTTTTCCCTTCAATCAAAAATCAAAAATCAAAAATCAAAAATCAAAAATCAAAAAATGAAAAATCAACAAAATCAACAAAATCAACAAAATCAACAGAATCAACAGAATCAACAAGAAATTGATCCTAATGATCCTTTTGGTATTGGCCTTGTGCCATACCACCCAAATCTTATAACCTTTGAGTATACAGGTAACGAGAATCTCCTTCTGGATTTTGAAGAACCAGAAGAGATTCTCGTACCTAAGAATAAATATGTCGCAAAGTGCTGTTTTTTTAATCTACCCAATGACGACGACGACGATGATGATGATAATGAGTCGTTTTTTGAATTTCTTACCGATGAAGAAGACGATGGCACTGACTATTATCAATGCTATAATTGCAAACGGGCAAAATATGAGGAAAAAAAAAGGAGACGAGGCGGTAAGTAATAAACTTCTACCTACTTCTAAAATAAAATTAATAAATATTTTTCTAACTTAAAAAAATTATTTTTATAGAAGAAGTAAAGAGGAAAAGAAGAATTTAAATATTTTAATAATCAAATATATTTTTATCATTACTATCATTTTTATTACTATCATTTTTAATATTACGCTCTTTCTCTTTCTCTCTCTCACATCCTCTCCTCTCTTCCCTTTATCTCCTCCTCTACAAATCTCTCTTTATCTCTCTCTCTCATCTCTCATCTCTCATCTCGCTCTCTCTCATCTCTCTCTATCCTCGCTATCTCTCGTCTCTCTCTGTCTCTCTCTCTCGTCTCTCTCCTCTCTCTCATCTCTCTCATCTCTCTCATCTCATCTCGATCTCTCATCTTCTCATCTCATCTCGCTCTCTCATCCTCTATCCCTCATCTCCCTCATCTTTCATCTCGCTCTCTCATCTTCTCATCTCTCTTTCCGCTCTCTCTATCTTTTTTCTCTTTCTTATTAATATTTTTTTAAATTTTATTATTATATTATATATATTATCCCATTTTTTATATCAATAAATTTAATGTTAAATGAAAAACTTTCGAATTGAGTGTCAAGTATTCAAATCTAATGAATACATGAATTTATTTTTTTTATTAAGTCGTGACTTATCAAGATAATAATGTTACATTTTACATAAATGTTAAATACTATATCGAAGAAATAATAATAATTAGAAGAATTAATAGAATAGAAATACAATAGGTACAATAATATATAAAATAAGAATATGATATAAATATAAATATAATATACAAGAAAAATGTTGATATAAATTGAAAATACAATCTCAAGATTAATATTTTACTACTAACTGTTAATCCATTAATGGGGGTTGAATTTTTTCTCCATAAATTAAAATACCAAAATGTAAACCTAAATATAATAACAATAATAATAAGTATATAATTAAATATTAAGAAAAAAATTCTTAAATGTTATCATTGCTTAAAATTTCGTATAAAATACATAATTTAAAAATTTATACGAAACTTTAAACAATGATAACTGTTTCTTTAAAAAAAGAAATAATTATCTAAACAAACCTTTAACATTGAACTGGTATAACGATTATACACATTATCAAAAAAGATAGGGCGATAATCTTTCTGGGTGGTTTTTTATTCTGGTAAATTCAAAAATCACCACAGTCAACAATGTTAACATTTAAATGACAGCTAGTTGATTCATAAATATAGCAACTTTATTATCGAATAGATGAATAGATGATAAATAGTAACAATTGATATAGTTACAAAATAAACCAATATTTCCTAAAAAAAACCATTAAAGTGAATTTTATTATTTTTTAAAAAAATAAAAAAAAAATATAATAAATAAAAATAAAATAAAATAAAAATAAAAATATACCAAAATTCAAAATTATGTATATCTTCTAAGGCAAACTTATCATAACCATTATTATGAGCATAATAGATATATTGTACTAATACTGAATAGTTTTACAAAACTAAATAAATTTTATTTTTATTAATCAAAAATTAAAAGAATTTTTGAAGATGTATAATTTTAAGAGTAACCAATTATTCACACTTACACAATTGAAAATATACGTCGTCATTTTTGTGGAATTAGGAAACACTCTTTACCTAAAGTTTTTAAAAACAAATTAAATTAAAAAAAAATAATAATTAAATTAATTAAATTAAATAAAACAAAAATAAAAATTCTTACTTTCGACACGAAATTAATAAAACTTCCAAGCAATAACATAAAAAAAAAATCCAATATATATAGGACTAGAGTCATTGGTCGGAAATGGCAAAAAAATTTTAAATTTGTTAACTTTTATAACATATACACACAAGATATTATGATAAACTCATACCGCTGATTTATGTTCAACCACATCCCACATAATTAAAAGATTTCCTGGAGGTTTCACTTCCGCGGAAGCTATGGAATTGAAAAGTTTCGAATACATAGTAATGTATAATATGTAATTAAGTCATGTGATTTATATTTAATACATTAGATTATGATAATCTGTTCTACTTAAAAAATTGCTCCACTCTCTTTAAACAACAACAATGTTAAAGTATATAAACCAAATCGAGATAAGATTTTCTCCGTATTCTTATTCTTCTAAATCCGCAAGGTAACGAAGTATGTTATCATTTTTATTGGTTCCATCTAACACGATTTCTTTCGGAACACAAGGTAACAAAGTTTTACAGACTTTTCCTTGCAAGAATTATGACCGACAAATCACGTCTTGCCAATCCTAATGCAGTTATAAATACCAAGGTTCTTTCTGATATAGCCAAAGAACCTAAAATATGTGTTACTTATCGTAAGTAATGCGAGAAAAAAAAAACAAAAAAGAAACTTAATAAAGAATAGTTTTGGAAGATGTTAAAAACCTGCATTATTTTAAAACCTTCAGGCGACGGTACAAAGTTAGATATTCGATCAGGAAATAAAAATATTGACCAGTAAGAGTCAAGAGTCACAAGTTTTTTTTTTCTTATTTCTTAGCATTTAATGATTTTTTAATAAAATTTTATTGTTTCAAAATTTTATCAAGTGTTCTGACTTTGGTTAACAGACATTCCCGAAAATTACGAGAGGAAGAAGATTTCGCACCTTAATTGAAAATATTTCAATATTGATGATGCAAGTCAATAATGCTAGTATATAGATGTAAAAAAAAAAATAAATCTTTTAATTTATATTCAATCTTTGGTATAAATTTTGCTCTTCGTAAAATTTATGCTTAATCACGAGTATGTACTACGTGATTCGCATAAGGACTTTCATTCGCAATTTTTGAAATTACAAAAAAAAAATAATGTCAATAATAACGCAAATTATTAGAAAAGTACCATTTACTTTTCTGATACCTACAATTCGTTATGACTTTAAAGCAATTACCCATTTTGAAAATGTTCTTACAATAAAAAATTTAAATAAAGTTAATTCGGTTGTTAATGAAGTATCAAAAAGAAAATTTTCTAATGGTACGCCATCAATTTTCGATGAAAAAAATTATAGTAAAGATAGTAAAGATAGTAAAGATAGTAAAGATAGTAAAGATAGTGAAGATAGTAAAGATAGTGAAGATAGTAAAGATAAGGTAGGGTCAAAAACAGAAGAAATGGAAGACGATTCCTTTAATTCAATACTTAATAATATAAATCCCAATGAAGCAAATGAAGAGATAGCTTCCAATAAAAAATCGAAAAATAAAACCAGAATCGAAATTAAATTAGATGAAAAGGATTTGATTGAAACATTTGTTAAAGGATCAGGACATGGTGGACAGAAAATTAATACAACTTCTAATTGTGTGGATTTAAGGCATATACCAACAGGAATTCGAGTTCAGGTATTAAATAGATATAATTTTATTTAAAATCAAAATTATCTGTTTAAATTTATTAATATTTATCTCATTTGCTTTTTTTTTCAAAGTGCCAAGAAACACGTTCTTTACAACAAAATCGATTAATAGCGAAAAAGATTATGATTAAAAAATTGGATGATCATTTTAACGCCCACTTAAGTAAATCTGCAATCAAAAGAGAAAAGATTAAAAAACGGGAAGCTAAAAAACGGAAGAGGGCTAGAGAGAAATATGGTGAAAAAGAAACAAAAGAAACCAAAGAAATTTGATTATAAATATATCTGAATATATATAAATAAATGGTTAAAAAATAAATAGTTATACCACGTTATCATTTATATTTAGGAAAAAAAATCTTTATCAATTTCAACATCAAACTAAGCTAAAAAAAAAGGAGTAAGTAAGAGACAATGATATTGGGAAGACAGTCCTTTAGAAAATATTCAAATTATAATAATATCAAAAAAGTAGTATAAATATAAATCAGAAAAATGATTAAATATATCTTTGTCATTTATTTATTTAAAGTAAGAGAAATAAAGTAAGAACATTTGTTATTTAGATAAAACAACAATATTATATATGTACATTTTCAAAATTATTATTTAAGTTTTGAATTTTGAAATATAAATTATAAATTCCACTTTTCAAAATTCCAAAATCCTCAAAACAAGGAATAAATAATTTCATATGAAATTATAATAATTCAGATTTTGAATTTATATAATTCTTTTTTACACTTAATAAATATTGATTATTAAACTTTTATTTGAAGCATAAAATGAAAGTTTTTGAATGATATTAGAAATGACTTAGTAGAAGATTGTTTCCCATTGTATAAAATCAATTTGAAGTAAAAAATAAATTTTAATTATCTTTAAATTTTTAATATCTTATCATTATATTTTATAATGACTGCATTAGCCCTTTGTATCTGAATTTAACCTTTGTGCCTAATTGTGCTAAAGAAAATATCTGGGTTTAATTAGTTAAATCATATTTCTTATTGTCTTTAGCAAGTATTATCATCTTTATTTTGCAATAAGGGAGGTATATCTTTGCAAATAGGAAAAAGTAAGTAAGTATAAATATTCACAAAATGGAAATTTTTTTTTTTACTGTTGACATTTTTATTGTGACAATAGATATATAGATATTGATTATATTTTCCTATTTAATATATTAATTAAGGATATAAAGTTATTTGTTTTTTAATAAAGCTTGCCTGCATGCAGTGTGTTGAGGAACGCTTTTGAACGAGTGTTTAGACGGGAATCACTTTCTTTAAAACGTAAATTACATGAAATTTTATTAATGAAACCTACTTTGAGCCATTATTCAGAATTGACTTTTGCATACAATTGTGAAGTTTTTAATATACATATATATATTTATTTATAAGTACGGATAGCGCGGATGTGGACATGGGACAGTAAAAAAAAAATTCAAACAACTGCCTGCATGGCCAAGGTTCAAAAAAAAACTCATATATCAATTAGTTTACATTACATATTAATTCTTAAGGTTTTATTTTTTAAATGAATTTTAAAAATAAGATTGATTAACTGTGAATTTTTCAAAAGGATATTTCAATCGATTGTTGATTTTGGAAGTTAATTTTAAATATTTTATTTTAATATTTTATTTTATTTCAATTGATAATACAAAAAGTTCTGATGGTGCTTTGAACAACGAAACCATTGTTTATTAACTAATTCAATTTGTTTTAATGTTTTGTGCGTTACAATATACACAAATAGCACAAATATGTTGTGTTTTAAATATAACAATACTTGTTTACATTTTGTGTAATGTACTACAAAGAAATGAGGTGAACAAAATAAATTAAACCCAAATAAAAATAGAGAACTCTATATTTGGAATGCTAATTTTATTGAACTAAATATGTACCGATTGGATGGGTATTTATATTCGACCAAGTTTATAATAATTATCTCATATAATTATAGTAAATAATCTCTTTGGTTAAAGCTTCAATGATTTTGATTACATCAACGACAGTTTAGCGTAATGCACATTATTTATATAATGCATTGGTCTGCATAAATGGAATAAAGTCGTTTTTTTTTTAACGACGCCCCTTACATATTCTTTTTATATCCATTCAATTAATTCATTTATCCAAAGTTAGAATATTCATAAAATTTTTATAATTTAAACATCCAATTTTTCTTACCTTCTTCATTAAGACTTCTTTTGTAATTCTCAAAGAAAATAACTCAAAAAAAAATTTAAAACTCATAACTTTCTTCTAAACGAAACAAAAAAAAAATAATTACAAAATGATGAACTCTATTCGCTTATGTGTTTTCTTTTTGGTAGCCCTCCTAACCTTCGTGTCTATGGTTCGAGCGAACTGTACAAACTCAGCTGTCTATAGTTTATGCAAGCAACGTGGAAGTTCCAATTCAGCTTTATGTACTTCAACTGATTATATTTGTTTATGCGATGCAGTTAAAGGTATGAAAAAATTTCATGAATTTTATGAATTTTATGAGTTTTATGCTATATTTGTTTCTAAAGAAAAACTTAAGTTGAATAAAAAAACTGAAATTCATTTCTAAACATCGTAGCCATTTCCGAATGTTTTAGACAATGTACCGAAGATCCTAATACTGTAGCCGAAGCTGAAGCTTATTCGGTAATTATTTTATTTTTAAATTAAAAAAAAAAAAATTTTAGATAACAAATTGATACTAACTATTAATATTAATTATGTATTCTTTGGAAAATTAACAGCAAGTTGTCGCAGGATCTTGTAGTCTAGCTGCTAGTCAATCTGCAACTATGACGTTTCCGTCTGCTAAACCTACATCATCATCAACATCCAAAGCAGAGCCGTCGAGTTCTTCATCAATTCCAACAGCCACTGGATCATCTGAAACTCCTTCTTCCGTCACACCTACTAAAAGTGATGGTGTTATTGCTGTTTATATCAACAAGAATATTATATTATTGATGACCGCTCCTTTAATTGCAATCGTTATCATGTTGTTATAGAGAACACAAAATAATATTTAATAATATTTGATATTTAGAACTTCTCAAAAAAAAAAAAAACTGACCTTTTAATCTTATTTATACCTTATTTTTTAATAACATTAGATCATGTGAATAATTGAAGCGACTTTAATATTATAGTAATAATTTCTTTTTTTTTTTTTTTAGAGAAAAAAAAATTTTATTTTTTTGGAAAAAAATTTAATGTAAATTAGGTTAGGTTAGATCATTTAGATCGTTATATAATCAACAGCTTAAATAATTTGTAGCTCAATTATTTTAATAATAATAATAATCCATTTAAAGTATTATGATTATTGCGTTTTACTTTTATTTTTTAACCGTAATTTAGATTCAACAACCTGAAGTTCTATATGAATTTTACCAACTATTTTCGAACACAAGTCACAAGCTCATTTTTTGATAAGAAAAAATTTTATTCTTTAGATTTAGAAGAGAATTATCAGGACAGTTGGTTTTATGATAGAAAAAAGTATTACATTAGTGCGTAGGATAAAAAAGATAATAGTTAACAGGGAACATTTATTACTTATATCTTACGAGCCAGGAATTTAGAAGCCATAAATTTTGGTGCAATGTTATAATAAAAGAGTATATTTTCAGTCTACTCGTACTGCGGACAATTGGAGAACATAACATATGCATGTAATATAAATGTGCGCATGCACTTAGCTTGTTTGTTTAACGGAATTGTTCTTTGTTCAATAAAGAATTAAGATTTGAATCTATTCGTGTAACAGGGAGTTATTTTCTAGTTTCGAGTTGAAGACAATGAATGATTTTTTTTTGCTAGTATTACTTGAAAGCTTTCATTTCAAGTTTTGCAATGATCAATATTTGTACCATCCAAAGACAACATATTAAAATAACTATTATTATTTTAGTTGTATCAGTCAATCAAACATAAAATATAAATAATAAATAATGATCTTTGTTATTATTATTTTATTATTATGGTAATCCAATACCAAACATTATATTTTTCTACAAATAGAATACAAAAAAGACATAGAGGTATTATATCAGAATTTAGTTATTGAGCCAGAATTTAGTCAACAGAAAATAAATTAGTTATAATTTAACCAAGTTTAAAATCAATTGAATCAACTCCCCCCCCCCCCTTTTACAACAATAAATTAGGATGAAAAAAGCTGTTATTTTAAATATGAAATTAGAAATCTCTTTCTGCAAAATTGATTAAAGTATTTATTAAATTCTTCTTCAATAAAATTAATATTTTCATATTCCTATTTATTATTCTTGTGAAGACAATTTGAAGATATGAAAAATATGAAAATTTGATGATTGTAATATAAGTCGATTAATGTATATGTATTCTGCGCTCAAGTGCCTATCATATGTGGTAGTTGATTTTCTCAAACAATTAATACTTTCATAGATACTTTCTTTTTCCCAAGACCTCTAATTCAAGAATGAAATGCTAAATCTAAAGATTAATCTAATCTCTATTAGGCATTGTTCTGTTATGGCCAATTAGAGAAATTCCGTTCACGTGACCAAACAAACATAAAAAAGTTATAAAAATTTCTACTGTTGCCAAAGAGTAAAAACGTGTTTCACAATGACAACACTTAAAGTGTAAGTCGTCATTTAATTCTTAAATTACTGAATTTAATTGTTTCAAATTTTATTAATCTTATATATAAATATATTTTTTTTTAAAAAAAAGGCTCGCAACTGGACCAGCCAATGGAAAACTCAAAATTTTCTTTGAAGAAGTAACCAAAAACCACCAAAAATTTGGACCCTTTGATTTATTATTATGCCTCGATTTATTTGGTGAAAATACGGAAGAATTAGATTCATTGATGTCAGGGGATCTAAGTGGTAAACGAAAGTTATTAAAAGTTTTTTTGATCTATTTTATACTTAAACCTAAAACGCGTAATTTTTTTTTTTTTGATAGTTCCGATCATGACATATTTTATGCATGGTCAACACGAATTACCTGAAGCTGTAAAAAAACACGTTGAAAGTAATCAAGGAGAATTATGTCATAATCTTTTTTACCTTGGTAGATATATTTTATTATATAACAAATTTTAACAATTTTATTATAACAATTTATTTATTTATTTAACAATTTTATTTATTTTATTTTATTTTATTTTTTTTTTAAATAAATATCAAAAGGACAGCAAGGTAGTATAACTACTACTCATGGAATTAAAATTGTATTTGTTAGTGGAATAATGGAATCCATGATGAATAATCCACCTACTCAAGTTGATATTCTTCTTACTTATGAATGGCCCAAATCAATTACAAGATTTTCAAAAATTCTTACTGAAAATATAGGAGGATCAGAATTTGTATCATTATTAGCAGCAAAAATTAAACCAAGATATCATTTCGCTGCATCAGAAAAAATATTTTTTAAAAGAGAACCTTATCAAAATATACCTTCACCTAATTTAATTGGTGATAGTGATGATACTCAATTACAACTTGGACTTCCTACTTGGTTTGTTGGATTTGCTGAAGTAAATAATGAATCTAAGGGAAAGGTAAATTTCCAATTTTTTTATTATTAATTATTTTATTTATTTAATTTATTAATTATTATTTAATTAAATTATTTTATTATTTTATATTAATTATTTAAATTATTTTAATTATTTTATTACTTATTTTATTATTAATTTAGTGGTATTATGGTTTCAACCTTGTACCTTATATACATTTATCACCATCTACTTTTATGAATCCTCCACAAAATATGACAGAATGTCCTTATCTCAAATTAAATACTGGACAAAAGAGGGGACATAAAGAAATAGAAGAGGTAAAAATATTTGAAATTAGTTTTATTCTTAATTAGATAAATAATTAACAATTATTATATTTTATTATTTATATTATGTTTATAGAAAAATGATTTCATTTTTTCATCTATCAATGAACCAGCAAATAAACGTGGTCGACGAAATGTTCAAGGACCACCACCAGTAAATTATGTTTGTAATAAATGTAGTGTACCAGGACATTGGATTAATGAATGTCCCGAAGATAAATCAAAACAAAATATAAAACATCCTCATACAAATTATGTATGTAATAAATGTAATGCGAAAGGAACCCATTTTATGATTAATTGTCCAAATTATACTTGCAAATTATGTGGAGATAAAGATCACGCACCTAAAAATTGTCCAAATCCTACGGCATTAACGAATAAGAAAAAAAATAACAATGCAAATAATAATTCAAGTTCTCAATGTTGGTTTTGTATTACTAATCCGAAAACTGTAAAACAGTACGTGATTATTTATTATTTATTTTCTATGTTATTATTATTATTATTATTATTATTATTATTTTTTATGTTATTTTGGATGATTTTAAAAATTTTTTTGATATTTTCTTTTTTTCTTTACAGTTTAATCATTTCTGTTGGCAAGGAAATATATTTATCGGTAATTATTCAGTAATCTTTTTTTATAATTATTATTAATGACAATAATGAATTTTTTGTTTTATATCAAAAGTTGAATTTTTAATATAATATTAAATTTGTTAGTTGGCTAGAGGTAGTTTGATAGATACCCAAAATCCGGATGGACTTCTTGTACCAGGTGGTGGACATGCATTGTTGGTTAGTATTACATTCTGTTTTATTGCTGTTTTTTTTATTTATTTATTTATTTTTTTTTTTTTTATTTTTTTGTTAAAACATTTTTATTTATTTTTGCAGGTCGCAGTTCCTCATTGTTCATCATTTCGAGAAATTCCTATTGATGAACAAGTTGATTTGACGGCAGAAATTGAAAAATATAAAAGTGCATTAAAGAAATTTTTTCATGCCCATGGATCAGGAATGGTTTTATATGAAGTTTCATTCTTTGGTAAAAAAAATCAACATAGTCATATGCAAGTAGTTCCGGTTCCTTTGGATCATGATCCTAATAAAATTCGGGAAGTATTTGTTGAGGAAGCCGAAAATTTGAATTTGAATTTACTTCCAATTTCATCAACAACATCATCATTACCGGTGAATTATTTTAAAGTTGATTTTTCCGATGGAACGTCTTTAATTCATGAAATTAATCCAGAAGCACAATTTGATGTACAATTTGGAAGGTAATATATGAAAATGTTTTATTATTATTATTATTATTATTTCATATTGAAAATTAAATAAAATCATCTTAATTTTTATTATTTCAGGAAAACTCTTAGTAAATTATTGGGATTATCTAATCGTATTAATTGGAGGGAGTGTACATTGCCTGAAGAACTTGAAAAGAAAGATGCGGAAAATTTTAGACAAGCATTTAGTCCTTATGATCCAATGAATCAAAATAATTCATAAAGCAAAAATATTTATTCTCAAAATTAATTTAAATATTATCAAAAATTTATTATAAAATAAATAAATTAATAAATAAACTAAAATATGATGATTTTTTTTAGTAGAATAATTTATAAATTTTTAAAATTTTTTAATTATTATATTTTATGGTTTCCATAAAGAAATAACACCATCATCTGCATATGTCGCCATAATATTCGAAAATGGATGATGTGAAACACCAATTACTTCTGCCTCTGACAACTTTATTATAAATATAATTTCACATTAATTAAAAATGTTTATAATGTTTGAATAAAATATGATTTGTCAATACAAGAAAATAAAAAAAAATAAAATTACCTTCAGACTTGAATATGATTTTCCACTATGAATATCGAAAAAGTATAAAATTGAATCTTCTCCTACACAATATATAAAATCCCCTTGTGGTGAAACCGTGCAGGTAATAAAATCACCTCCAGTTTTTTTCTCTGAAGTAAATGTTCTGATTATCTAAATAATATATAAATAATAATAATAATAATAAATATTAAATAATAAATAAATAAATAAATAAATAAATATATATATATAATTAAACAAACCTGTCCTCTTAAATTCACCAAAAAAATTGTTGGACTTTTATTGCATACTATAAATTGATCTGTAGTTTTGGGCATTTGAATAACACAATTAACAGTTGCTCCGCCTGAAATGGTTTGAGTTGCGTGCTCACCGAGAGGACTTATTGTATGTAAACAATCGGTTGATTTGCTATCCCAAATCTATTTGTTATAAAAATTTTTAAATAAATTTTTTTTTCACTCCTCTTTAATCACAATCAAAAGAAATAAAGAATTCCTTTTTTCATTGTATACCTTTACTTTTCCATCACTACTTGCACTAATTACTCTCATCATATCATGTGAGAATATTGCACTATTAACGAAGGAGGTGTGTCCTCTAAATTCTTTTAATGTCTTTCCTGATTTCAATCCATGAAGTCTAACAGTATGATCAAAACTTGAACTTAATACTTGACTACCATCACGATTAAAGCATACAGAAGTTACTCCTTGACTATGTGCCGGGGAAAATCGTCGAGTACAATGTCCTGTACTAATCTTCCAAACTTTGATGCTCCCATCTTGAGCACCTGAAACCAACATTTCACTATCTCTACTAAAATTTAAACATAATACTGGATGTTCCATTAACATTGGATTATCCTATTAATTAATAAAATTAAATTATAAAAATTAAATTATAAAATTATATCATTATTATTATTTTTTTTTTGAAATTAATAATAATAAAATTTTTTTAATACAAACCTCCATTTGATATTTGAAATCTTTTCTAATTTTACCAGTCAAAAAATTCCATATTTCAATGAAACCATCCATACTACCAGTAGCTAAACATTGTCCATCAGGTGAAAAAGCGGTTGATTCCACATGTGATTTTTTTGGAAACTATAAATTTTATATAAATAATAAATTATATATCAAAAATTAAATATTTTAAATTTTAAAATTAAAAATTAAAAAATGATCGAAACCTTAATGGTAGAATAACACTTCGAGGGTACCGCATCATCTTCAACTTTGGTGGTAGGAGCGGAACCTCTAAAAAGATCAAAAGCTGAATCAGGTGATAATAATCCTTGATGTTGTTGCCATTTTATCGCTTGTCCCAAAAGAGCGAGAAGTCTCGATGAAGGTACAACTGTTACTTCACTTGATAAACCTTATTATAAAATATATTACTATTATTATTATTATTATTATTATTATTATTATTATAAAATATATTGATATTATTAGTAAGAGAAATGAAAAATTATAATAAAAACCTTCAGCAATAGCTTGACGTCTTTTTTCTTTTGTTATGCCAGATGGATATGCCTAAATCAATAATAATAATAATAATGATAAGATGTAAATTGATAATTTATGAAGAATTAATTTGAAGAATTAATTTATAGAATTTAATATCAAATTATATCAAATAACCTCTTTAGGATCAAACCATGTCCGCGAAAGTAAATGTTCAAGGTGCAAGTAACGTTCCGGATAGTTATCTCTCAAAATTTGCATAGGATCGGTTTGTCTTAATAAAGTTCTCGCGGCTCCCAACTCTCGCATTTCTATAAGTTCTAAAACTATCTAAAATTGAATTAATAATTGTTTGATCGACTAACTAATAAAACGAACAGAAGATATTAAAAAAAAAAACCTGTTCATAGAGATCGATTAATTTTCGCTGTGATATTTTTAGATTAGAAACCGTTCGAAGTACAACATCCCAATGTCCTTGAACTATTTCATTTGTGAAGGATTCGATGGAATCTACTGTATTTAATGCGATCGTAGATTCTTCCTAAATAAATCAAACCAAATTAAAAAAAAAAGGAACACGTTTTTCAAATTTAAAGTAAAATTTAAACCTGTAGAGCCGCATAACTGTTAAGAAGATTATTCTCCTTCAAAAACTGCAAGATTAATCGAATAACACTAATTTAAAGATGCTTATATAAGTAACTTTTTATATTCAAGTCTGAAAGGAAGTATGCTTTTTTTTTTACTAACTCAGAAGATTCAATTTCCATAGAGGACATTTTTTGTCGAACGTTACAATAAAAAAAAGGGTCTTGTTTATAATATCAAAAAAATATCAGATTTACAATATAAAAGATTACTAAAAAACGCAAAATGATTTCTTGTTATTGCCAAATAGAACTCTTTTTAAATCGACTATATTTGTGATAATATTTCTTGTATAATACTTATTATAATGAGAACTTTTACATAAGAGATTTTTTAATACTTTGGTTAAAGAAAAATATCTTTAAACAATTAAATCAAGTTCATTAAATAGGTATGAAGTTTATTTTTCGGGTTATACTCGAGCTAGAACTTTGCCATATTTTGGTTCAGAGTTAAATTCTTCTCCAAATGATTTAACAAAATTAATCAGCTAACCATTACATAAGCCAAGTCTTGAAGTCTCTAACATACAAAAATCAAATTCAGATATTTTTATGGAATTAAATAATAGAGATATAATAATATTTTAAAACATTTTATAGATGTGATAACAAAAAAAAATAATAATATAACAATTAATTTTGAAATTTTAAATGTTATAGTATAATTTTAGAACTAAAAATATAACATTCGAATTGCCAAAAGGTTGGGCTCTCAAAGGTAATCAAAAGTTTGGAAAACACAAGAAAGTGAAAAAAAAAATGACGGCCGTAGTTAAAATTTATCTAGAAATTTTTTTTTTTTTTTGGTGGGAAATGTGAATAAAACTGATAGGATGTCAGCAAAAGATATGATGACAGAGTTGGAAAAAAATAGCTGAAATGGGAGAAATACAACAAAGTAACGTATCAGCAATCAAAACAGTTGAAGGTTGGATTACTAGGTGTGTTGCAAACTTACGGAGAACAAAGAGTTGCTGATTATTGTAAAATGGAAATTCATCAATCCGAGTTTAGTAATATGTTAGAACAAGAAAACACCTTGGAAATATTAGTAATATTATAAATAGTCAATACAGAAACAAAAAGCAAATATATATATATATATATATATATTTGTGATGAAAACTATTATATAGTATCTTGTATAGATTCTTGCTTCCCTACATAATAAAATTTTTTAAACGATTTAGAAGTTATCATATGATTGTCGTCCCAAATTTTATTAATAGTTAGTCTGATTGAACCTTGTTCCATGTACCTTCATTTGTTCTATGAAGTAAATGCCCTAACATACAATTACTTTTCCCTTCAAACGCAATTCCTTTTTCCAAAAGATTTTTGATATCTTCTCGTAGATCTACTCGATATTGCTTCTTTTCAATCTGATCCAATCCTTCGCGAGCCATATCATATAAACTTTTATTACCATGAACAAATTTAAATTCAATTATAATAGCTATCTCATTAACACCTGGTTTTGGTTCTATTTTTATATTATATCTCTCCATACCAGCCTCCCAATTAGAACGAACAATATAACCTCGTTCACAAGCATAAACAAGCATTCCTAAACAAAAAGCATAAACGTTTTCTGGATTTTCTCTTCCGATATCATGAAATGAAAATATATCTATAACTACTTTTCAAATTCTTCACTAATTAATTCCAGATTTTCATGTAAAAGATTTGTCTATCATCGATGTGATAGTTTTTCCTTTGAGTAAAAAATGGTACATTAATCACCCAGTTATGTCATTCTGAACGAATTTCATCATTTTGAATAACAAGACATTTCTCAGAATTCATAGTAAGGTATCCTGCATAGTACAAAAGTGTCCAGATAGCCGAATCTTGAGCTTCCATTCAATGTTTGACTACTTCCCAATAAGAACGTGAAAGTAGACGAACAATAGACCATGGATTATATAAATGAGTATTGCCTCCTGAGATATAGCCGTCATACCACTTTCGAACGTCATTAATTTGCAAATTTTTACGTAACGACATTAATAATTATATCTCATCGGACGTAAATCCAAACTTATCTATATAAAGAGGAGATGAATCTTCTTGAATTTCTTGATGTAAAGGGTAAATCGTAATATTTTCTAGCTCAGACGATAAACCTGACATTGCAATCCGTAATACACCAACTAACATTGCTTTCGCAACATTTTCGTCATTGCTCTAATAATCAATCAGAAATAGAGATGAATTTTTTGATCAGATTATAATAAAAAGCCAAACCCATCTCACCTTCAATAATAATAAAAACATGTTTTTTAAAAAACTCATTCGCATTTTTGTAATATCCATTATTATAAGCACATTCCATTGGAGAATCATATTCATCAATCAATACAATACATCTTTCTTTATAGTAATTTCGCAAATATATGGATAATTCTTTCAAGGCAAATACTAATACTGATTCAGAATAAGTTAGATCTCCTTCAAGAATTCTTTGATACAAATCTTTGATAAGATAACGGTGTTCACTATAAATTTAAGATATAAGTACTCTTAATCGTATCACCTTTCATTCCATATTATGTCATCTAGATCCTATTTGTGATATACTGTGAATAAAAAATTTTATTTATTATATTAATTACAAATTTTATTTAACAATGACCAAACCTTAAGAGAGAAATGAATGACAGGGTATTTTGCAAAATGTTTTAACATAATTTCTTTTTCAGCTGAAATTTTCAATTTTTCGAAAAGTTTCTTGTGGATAACATCCTCATGGGAATATGGTATTTTAAAGAAGCTATTTAACATGTATAAATTTGTTGACTTGCCAAATCGTCTAGGACGAAGAATAAGCGATACAGAATCTGAACTCACAATAAACTCTTTGATGAGCATTGATTTATCAACAAAAGTGAGACAATTGTTTATAATAGTTTTAAAGTTATCTTCTCCACCAGCAACACTTGTACCAAAGATAACTCTGGCATTATTACCTATATAAAAAAAAAATTTAATTTGTGAAATGCAAGACTGAAAATATCAGAAAAGTTTTGATATACGATTCACCTAATATATCAACTTTCTGACAAGAAATTCATATGAATAATTTATATGAACTCTTATGCGAAAGTTTAACAGCCTTCGACCTAGCAATATATTTTTGCTAATGGGAAAACAGATGGGCGGAAAAAAGTCATAGTTAAAAAGAGTAATATACAGATTATTGAATTACGATATTGTTTGAATCACACCAGTTTCAGTAAATTTTATAAGCCGTAATATTTTGAAAAATTTTGTCACATCAAATCTTCGTAAATCTCCATTTTTTTCGTTTATTTTTATATACGAAATATTTCCACATTTTATAGTGTGGTGGCACGAACATCACGAGGAACGCTGTACAAGAATTATAGCGGATACGGAAGTCACAAGAGATGATGTTAGGATGACAGTGACACCTGGATGAGTGTGTTACCATCCAGGATGACGGATTATTCATCCTCGTACGATATCTTTTTCATCCTTGTGCTTCATCTTGAAAAACGTGTTTAATTGCCATGTCGAAAAGGGGTAAGAGAAAAACGCGAAAAGATATAAAATAACCGGCAGATAGAGATAAGAAAGAGAGATTCCTCTCGGGCAATTTTTTTTGAATTTAAAATCATCAATTTATCACTTTATTATTTTCTTATTACATTCTATTCTTTTAATTACAATTAT